ATTTCCGGTTTTGAAAAGGAGCTGGAATTCAATACAACTCCTGCCAGTACGTTGGTTAAAATAAAGAGGCAAGAGTTCGGGTGGTTGAATGGGATTCCATTAGGATTTCATAGCTGATAAAGATGCCGCTTCCTGTGCATGTCCCAAGAATCAGTAATCCTCTTTTACTCTGTTGGGATGAGTCTTTTTTTGTTCCTGTTCAGAATGGTTACTAACTTGATCTTCTTTCCTCTTGCTGTCATCTGCATTCGTGCTTCCCACCTGTTGTTGGCATGTCCTTTACCTTCTCTTTCCCTGCCACATCAACCTACACACCGATTCGTCGTTGGCCTCGAAGATGTGGAAGATGTCAAGTTTGTGATCAACTATGACTATCCAAACAGCTCTGAGGATTATGTGCACCGTATTGGCCGAACAGCCCGTAGCACCAACAAGGGCACTGCCTACACCTTCTTCACCCCAGGGAACCTAAAGCAGGCCAGAGAGCTGATCAAAGTGCTGGAAGAGGCTAATCAGGCTATCAATCCAAAACTGATGCAGCTGGTGGACCACAGAGGAGGCGGCGGAGGAGGGGGTAAGGGTAAGTCCTGGAGTTTTCCAGGTACTGCCAAGGTATCTTTTTGGGCTCATTGGGCCTTTTTTTGGTTTGTTTAAGTCCTGTGAAGACTTTTAAGTGTTACTGAATAACAGAGGATAGTGATTAATAGGTTTTCATAATTGTTTCTAAGTAAGACCATGTGATTGGGGCGGGGGGGGGGGGGCTGTCATGTTTGGCCTCCTAGCAGCATGGTATTTCCATAGACAGTAATATAAAACTGACTTTTGTGTTGTGAAGCATATGGTGCATGTTCAAAATTCAGGTGAATTACGGTTATTTTTAATACCTTCAAAAACTTTAGTGTATTAGGCTTTCAGTTTCTCATGTGAAGAGATCAGTAATTTTATATCGTTTTGTGGCAGTAGAAACAGGTATAGTTAACGAATATAAAAATTGGATAGTTCTGGGACACCTGCGTGACTCAGTTGGTTAAGCATCCCAACTCTTGATCTCAGCTCAGGTCTTGATCTCAGGGGCATGAGGTCGAGCTCCGCCTTGGGCTCTTCACTAGGCATGAAGCCTACTTTAAAAAAAATTGGATAGTTGCAAAATAGGCTAGGGTCATAGCTTCTGAACTACTATTTTGGTATTCTTTTGTCCCAGACTTACTGCATGCTAAAGCTCTGTGTCTGAATTACCTGAACGGTTTTTAAGATACAAGGTTTTTGGTTTATTTGTAAGTGGGTTTGGAATTGAGCCTAGGAACTTCAAGTTTGTGAGATAACTTTGACGCGGCTAGGCCCACGGGGCAACGTACGAGCTGGTGTGCGCTAGTGGACGGTCCTCGTAGGGTCATACCAACTTGGCTGCTTATCTTTTTGTTATTAATGTTTATTTATTTTTGAAGGAGAGACAGAGTGTGAGCAGGGGTGGGGCAGAGAGAGGGAGAAACAGAATCTGAAGCACGCTCCAGGTGCTGAGCTGTCAGCACAGAGCCCAGTGCAGGACTTAAACTCACGAGCTGTGAGATCATGACCTGAGCCCAAGTCAACGCTTAACTGACTGAGCCACCCAGGCGCCCCACTGTCTTTTTATTTTTAATCTATGGTAAGTCACCTCAACTTCTTTACCATTGTTGCTACATTTGTAAGATTGTGTCTCTTAATAATCCTCAAAGAAAAGGATTTACAATGGTGAGAAGTTGAATGTCTTTTCGCGTTTACCATTCTTTTGAATATGTCCTATTAAAGAATCAAATGATGGGTATATTTTAAAGTAACGGATTTGGAGGCTGGCCTGGGTAAAAATCAGATCAAGAAAGAACGTTGACTGCTTTTGTACCTGGTAGAAGTTTTTACACGTGGTCGTGTGTGGACTGTATTTCTGGCATTAAAAACTCCTCGTGTCCTCCCATCAGGAGGTCGTTCTCGATACCGGACCACTTCTTCTGCCAACAATCCCAATCTGATGTATCAGGATGAGTGTGACCGGAGGCTTCGAGGAGTCAAGGATGGTGGCCGGAGAGACTCTGCGAGCTATCGGGATCGTAGTGAAACCGATAGAGCCGGTTATGCTAACGGCAGTGGCTATGGAAGTCCAAATTCTGCCTTTGGAGCGCAAGCAGGCCAATACACCTATGGTCAAGGCACCTATGGGGCAGCTGCTTATGGCACCAGTGGCTATACAGCCCAGGAATATGGCGCTGGCACTTACGGGGCTGGTAGCACCACCTCAACTGGGAGAAGTTCACAGAGCTCTAGCCAGCAGTTTAGTGGGATAGGCCGGTCTGGGCAGCAGCCACAGCCACTGATGTCACAACAGTTCGCACAGCCTCCGGGAGCTACCAATATGATAGGTTACATGGGGCAGACGGCCTATCAATACCCCCCTCCCCCTCCTCCCCCTCCCCCTTCACGTAAATGAAACCACTCGAGTGGTAGTGACTTGCGCAGACTTAACTACATTTAAAGGAACGCTGTCTTTCCCTTTTATTTCTCTTCCCCTTTTCTTTCTTTTTTTTATTTTTCCCCCAACCATTGTGATTTGTCTTTCATGCAGATTAGTTAGAATTCACTGCCAGGTTTCTTCTGTCCGCCAAAATGATCCAGTCTGAAATAACAGATTTTGTAAAAACATATATATAGCCGACTGGAAGAGATTCTTTTTTTTTTTTTCCCCAACTTCTTGCATGTTGAGGATACTTGAGCTATTTTTCATCTTAAAAGAAAAAGTAAGGTATTAGGCCCTTTTGTGGGAGCCCATTTTTGTTGTCCTGAGTTGGGGGTAGGGGGGGGAGGGTAGAGGGTTGAATTCTGCAGAAGAAGGTGGCATCTGTGCTTTAGATTGCTTTCATTACTTGGGTTAGAAAACCAGGAGGGAATTCCCTGCACATTCTGTAATACTTTTTAATGTTCCTTGGGCCTGATGAGTATTTAAGACAATGCACTGGCCATTGTCATTTTGGCTGATTGCTCGTTAAGTGCATTTGACAGTTAAAAAAATTCCTAATTGGTTTTGTCTCCCTTATATTCTGCCTTGCCCCTTCCCAATTACTGAAAAATAACCATTTTAGTCAGGTTAGACATTGAATTGCTGAGTCTGAGTTTCTTAAGTGTGTCTTTTAAAAACCCCAGGTGTTTATTGAAATGGTTAAACGTAGCATCTCGGCGTCTGGGTGGAAGCTGCCTAGTTTTCTTCCCCACATAACCAGGGACCATCTGTGAAATTCATTTTCCAACTAGATAGTTGCTCGGGGCAGAATGAACGTAAATGCTCACTGAAAATTTATTAACCAGTTAAATAATTTAACCAGTTACATATGCGTTCACCTGCAGTGTAAAAACCACTTTTAATTATAAACAATATACTCCGTGGCAAAGTTTCTTTTTAAACTCCGTATCTATAAAGCTAGAATGAAAGCAACTCTTGCCAGCTACTCTGCCCTTTCGGCCAAATTCTCTTGAATAAAGAACCTTCGGGGTCTGTTAAGAAAGAACTCTTAATTCTCTTCATACTCTTCTCTGCAGTGCTTTGTTGTAACAGCTTTGGGATGCACATTTTCTTCAGCATCCTTTTGCACTCAGCTTTTTACAGGTAGGTAGTGCTTAAGAGAAGTTACAGAGGACTAAAGCCTAAGTCCTTTCACTTTTCCTCCTTCCGAAGGTAGGTGAGTTTGTCCCCTTTAGAATGATACTGTTTAACTGAGACTTCCTGTAGCACACGGGCCTAGAAAGAATTCTCTGCTCTTGTGGTCACCGTAACAGGACAGGGAAACCAGACAGCCCCAGAAACCTCTTCCATATCCAGTGTTGGACTATTAATTTTTTTATGCTATTGGTATCGTTCATTAACAATGTAGTTAAAGGGGGAAGGCTCCACTGCGTCCTTTGGCTAAGGCCTGAGGGTGCTTGCTGGTTTGTAATATCTAAATACTTGAGGTTCTTTTGTTTTTTTCTTTTCTTTTTAAAATTCTTCAGGGAGAGAGAAGGGATGGTTTCTGAGGGGTTCTGAAAAGTATGGTTGAATGTGCAACATACAGGTAGGTTGTCAGCATAAGCTGAAATCTGTGCATGTGAGAACTTTGACATGTCGTCTCCCCCCAGTCCCCCCACACTTTCTTCTTCCTTTACTTCTCATTTTTCCCCCCTTATAGAAGTTGAGGCCGAGGGAGGATGGTAGGCACAGGAAAACTTGGGCAGAACTGCTCTGTGCTTTCAAACCAAAGTGCCCCCCGCCACAGAAAAATTTTGTCTGAGCACTGACCAGTCCGTTGTAGACATTTCTTTCTACATCAGACTTGTGACTATTTTTAAACAGAGGTGCCACTGTAAGGGGTGCCATTTACTCTCTCGCAGGTCTTAAAGCCTCCCTTGGTGGCGAAGGCCTCTGGGCCCGCAGACGGCATTTGGTCTGCCACTCGCTTCCCTTTTTCCACCAGGGATATTGTGGTCATAAGGTCAAAATAACAGCATATCCCGAATCTCAAAAGCTATCGTGGCCTGAGCGCAGCTGAGATCGAGCAGAGTTTTTCCTAAACGGCTTTAGAGTAACTCTTTTGCCTCTGCGTCTGTCCCTCATAATTCAGGCTCTGCCTTTGCTTCAGAACATGAGCAGAAGAGTCCTCGTGAGAGGCTAGTTAGTGCAGTCACGGTCGAAACTCATTTAGGGAAAGGATTTCAATATTAAGCTCTGGGACTGCTTCTCCCCAGTTCCTCCCTAACCATTCGTTGTGTGGACTTCTCTCATCTAAAAGGTTGGTGGCTTTTGCTTGGGATCAGTGCTCTATTCATGTTCTTGCTGGTCTCTGAACACATTCCTGTCGCATTAAGACTTGAAAGATTTGTAGATGTGTGATGTTCAGGCACAGGATTCTAAGAGCTATGTTACTATTCTTAGTTTGTCAATTGTCCTTTTGATACCATCTTGTTTTCTTTTGTAGGTATAAATAAAACACTGTTGACAATAAGGTGTGAGCTTTTTATTGCTTAAAACTTCTCTGACCACAGGACAGCGGTAGTTGCCTTACAGTTTTTATTCGCTTCAAGACCCAGTTTGGGGCGTGTTGGGTTGAGTAGTAACCTTAGCACCTAAAAACGTGGAAGGGAGGTGGGGTTGATGGGTCTTACCGGGAAGATTTGAATCCCAAAGCAACGAGGCAGGACACCTAGTAGGTTAAGGCTTCAGCATTGGTTTCCTCACTGATAGAATGGTCCTCATGGTAGCAGTACCCACCTAGGTTATTGCTTGGATTTAAGTACTCCGTGTGGAGCTGCCGTAGCCGTGGCAAGACGCAAGGCCATTTTAGAGCTGAGGCACACAACTACTGAAGTCTGGCCGAAGCTGATCTATTTGGCTTTTGTCTGGCTTTTGGAGGCGGGTTAGAAGTGAAGTAACGACACTTCATCCCTGTGAGACCATCAGCTTTGTATCCCTGCCTAAACTTGGTCTCCTGTCTGGGAAGTGAAAATTGCCACAGCAGCCTGCGTTTCTTGAAGTCTGGTCTTTGGGGGCATTTGTATTCTACACAGAGAGACATCTTTCCAGGTGGGACTGACTGTTCCTTAGTGGGAGGCTCACACTAGGGCCATAGAGAGCAAGGTTATTTCACCCGTATATGGGTTAAGCACCTAAGATTTCTTGATGTCCAGCTGACAGGCACCATGCTCGTATAATTGGCCTGGGTTTCTCACTGCAGCTATAATTTAAGGGAGAGATTGGTGAGAACGTCTTCTACGTAGATCAGTGCTCTGCTGAGATATCCCCACTAAGCATTTTTCTGACTGACATTAGGCCTGAGTCCTGTAGAAGTCGTCCAGGAGACTATTTCAAAGAGTTTATTGTGTCCTCGTGAAGGCGTAGGACCATCTGTGGGGCCCTCAAATTGGCATTGGAAGACTTAACTTCTTTCCTTTAAGGACTAGGAGAAAATAGAGACGAAATGAGAATTCACCACACTGATAACTCCCTTTTAACTGCATAACCTTAGGATCTCTAATGCCCAGTCCACAGTAGCTACATGTTACAGCCAAGGGGGAAGCTTCATCACGGATTACCTACAGACTCCCTCACCCCTACGCCCCACCTATGTTCCTGATCCCACTCTCCCTTAGGCCACAAATGCAGTTGGCCTCCACTTCGGTTTCACGTCTATCCAGTTCCTCTCCGCTCAAGATTGCCCACCCACTGGTGACCTCTTCCAACAACCACACCTGCCCCATAACAAGTCTCCCTGCTTCGGCCGCCCTTCACTCTGCCCAGCAGCTGCTGGCTCTGTAAATGAGCCCTCCGGTGGCTGCCCTGTGCGACGCAAACCCATTATTACCCTCTGATCTCTCCAGGTTCATAGTTTCTGAACACGCTAGCCTTTCTGTCCTTTAGCACACCAAGCTGGTTCCTGCCTTAGGGCTCCTGCACAAGCTATTCTTCTGGAATGTTCCTTGTATATCTTTCTAACAAGCATTCTGTCCGATGTCCTCTCACAGTCGACCTCTCTATGTATATCATGTGTGTCCATGTCCTGGTCTGTAGTTCTTCGTGGTGCTTGTTTCTTAACAACACTTGTTTGTCTCATCCCACTGAAACAAAAGCACCACGAGGGGCAGAGACTTGGAGCTATGTCCACTTCCCAAATTCCCTCAACTAGTGAACGGGTGACACCTGCCAGTGCCAGCAACACTGCTGTGGCCGCGCACCTACCTTTGGTCACATACAAGTAGAAGAAGTCACAGTAGAAGATGGTTTGTACTACTCCAGACACCACTGCAATTTGGTCGTAGAAGTTCTCAGTCTGGTACCGCCTGATCCAGTTAGCCAGGTAGAGTGCCCGGTACAGCCCGAGAAAGAACAGGTAGTGAGTAGTGATGGTCTCAGCCTCTCCGGTTTTACTGATCATGAAAAGCTGGGGCAGGATGGCCACGGATTCCAGGTAGATCGAGAAAGTCCAGAGGATCTGAGGCAAAGAGGGAAGAGGCCGGAGGAGGCTGATCAAGACCAAGAAAGGGGCCATCTCTTCAAAAGAAGGTAACTACTAAAATGTTCACGGGACAGGATATAACGAAACAAAAAAGTTCCTGAAATGTAATCCATTCCACCCCCTTTGCCCTGTAAATAGGAAATATTTGAAAAGTTCCAAGTAAACTGCTTTTCTTTCACATCACATGGACATTTTCGAGCGTAATTTTTTTTTTTTATTTTTTTTTTCAACGTTTATTTTTGCGACAGAGAGAGACAGAGCATGAACGGGGGAGGGGCAGAGAGAGAGGGAGACACAGAATCGGAAACAGGCTCCAGGCTCTGAGCCATCAGCCCAGAGCCCGATGCAGGGCTCGAACTCACGGACCGCGAGATCGTGACCTGGCTGAAGTCGGACGCTTAACCGACTGTGCCACCCAGGCGCCCCTCGAACATAATTTTTTAATCGGAACAGAACTTTATTGTATAAACTCGCCTTAATGGAGGCCATAGTTTTCTCGCAATGCACGAGCATCTCAAGTTCATGTTTGTTGGTCCACAGCCCAGACTTCCTGAGTTACGTTCTCGGCCTGGACTGTGCTCAGGTGTCCACCTTTGGGACAGAAGTTCTCAATAACCATAAGTGGTGCTGTGATGCCTGCTCTGTTTATCCACAGGACTATTTGGATGCGCCCATTTCCAAATGGAGTCGTGTGAATAGCTTATTACCGATTTCTCAACAACAATATACGAGTGATGGTCACGGTTATACCAAAACACAAGCCCAGACGTTACAAAAGATCAGCAGGAAGGATGTTCGGCAATGTGTTTACCCTTAGCAATTAGTATTCCGCGTCCCTTCACTTACCTCCAAGGGAGTGAAACTGTAGTTCTCAAGGAAGGAGAGACCAATGACAGGGACCAGAAGAAATTCCAGGCGGAACGTGTCATTCTCACTGTCAAATGTTTTCCGAAATTTCCCATAGATCATGTACACTGTGACGTAGGCACAGAGGAGAAAAACCACCTAACAAGGGAAAGAGCCACAGGGGAATCCATAATGAAGTCATTTCCCACTCTGTTGGCTGGGCTTCCAAGCTACCTTGAGTTGGGACCAGCCTAACTAAAGGGCCAGTGCTCTTGCCCCAAGGGGGAAGAAGTGAAACGCGTACAATTTCTCCGGAGTCATTGCCCTTGATTCCGAAACTAATGACCCTTTTGTTAAGTAACTCCTTGCTTCTAATTAGGACCACTGGCACTAACCGTGTGAGGACCCAAAGGTGCCTGGGCATCTCCTTACTGGAGAGCCTCAGGCAGGAGATGGGGGGGGGAGGGTTGGTCTCTGTCGGGGGATTTAGCAGTGGCATTCCAGGGCTCTTAAATGTCAAATTCCTAGATCTGCATCAGTGACCTGTGAGCATTCTTCCACTAGAACTAACGTCCTTTGAATCATTTGGTCATTGCTCCTGCGGAAAAGCACTCTCTTTAAAAAAAAAAATTTTTTTTAATATTTACTTTTCAGAGAGAGCACAAGCAGGAGACAGGCAGAGAGAGACAGAGACACAGAATCTGAAGCAGGCTGCAGGCTCTGAGCTGTCAGCACGGAGCCCGACGTGAGGCTCGAACTCACAGACCGCGAGATCATGACCTGAGCCGAAGTCAGACACTTACCAATTGAGCCACCCGGGCACTGCTCTTTTTAATTTATTTTGAAAGAGAGAGAGAGCAAGCGGAGGATGGGCAGAGAAGAGAGGGAGACCGAATCCCAAGCAGGTGCTACACTGTCAGTGCAGAACCCGATGCAGGGCTCAAACTCACGAACCGTGAGATCATGACCTGAGCCGAAGTCAAGAGTCGGACACTTAACTGACCGAGCCACCCAAGTGCCCCAGAAAAGCTCTAATTGCAGTAAGCTGTCCTCCAGCATGTGATGTTATGGTTTGGCCTCTAACTTTTTAGGCCAGAGGTTCTCAACTTTGTGCATCAGAATCACAGAAGTAACCACCTTTTTCCCCTCCTGCCCCCAGAGTTACTGATTTAGTAGGTCTGAGTAGTCCTGTTGTATTTCTAGCAGGTTCCTATGTGATGCTGATGCTGCTGGTCCAGGAACTCACTGGCCTAGAGAACTCCTATGTGAACTTCAAAACTCAGTTTCTCACCAGGAGGCAAAATACACTTGGTGTCACCATAGCTCCACGGGAACATATACGATGTCCCCCATAATTACATGCTCTGGAAATGTCTGTGTACCTGGTCTCTTTCCCCCATTTCCTGTAAGCGGGTCCTGACTGTCCTGTCCACCTCTGAACACCCAGCCCCTAACTCAGGGCCCGGCACAAAACATCCCAGAATGAATGAATGAATCAATGAAGTGGTGATCACTTCCTCACTTCACCAATGCAGAATCTGGCCTCTCTGAGGCTTCTGCAACTAACTCATGCTGCCACGCCGAGCGCTGGGTCCTCAGCCCCTCCCAGGACCGTTCAAGTCCGACCCTCAGGCAGAAAAATGAACTGAGCAGGTGGTGGTTGCTATTTCCGTGTTGAATTTAAGCAGACTGTGATTTCAGGACCTCAGACAAGTTCACACAGTTCGACGCCCCACAGGCAACAACATCTTCCATTCCAGCAAGATGCCTGGAATCCCAAAGTCACATCCCTGATGTGGAGGAGAAAGTACCTTCTGGGTGCTAGGCGCTTTACCTAAATCATCTCAGACAGTCTTCACAATAGCCCTGCGAGATCGGTAGAGTTCCCCGTTATGTAGCCTTCCTTCCTTAAAAAGGGAACTGTTAGTGGGGCGCCTGGGTGGCTCAGTTAAGCATCCAACTCTTGATCGCAGCTCGGGTCATGAGCTCACAGTTCATGAGATCGAGGCCTAGCATCGGGCTCTGCGCCGGGAGTGTGGAGCCTGCCTGGGATGGTCTCTCTCTGTCCCTCCCCTGCTCATGATTGCTTGCGCTCACTCAAAAATAAACTTTAGGAAAAAAAAAAAATGGAACTATTAGATGATGTGCCCAAATGAAAACTACATTTCTCAGCCTCCTTTGCAGATAAGGATGGTCAGTGACGCGCAGTCACTGGCTAGGGTTAGGGAAAGCTCTTTACAAAGGGCTTACCCAGATGGCAGGTACACTGTTGCTCTTTTTTCCTTTCCTCTTCCTGCCTGCCCAGAATGTGATGTGATGGTAGGAGCCCTGGCATCCATTTTGTGACCCTGAGGCAACCTTGAGGCTAAATGCCACATTAGGACTGGCTACATAACTTGCAGGGCCTCTTTAAAAATTAAAAATTTCAAGGGGTGCCTGGGTGGCCCGGTTGGTTGAGCATCTGGCTTCAGCTCAGGTCATGATCTCACAGTTCGTGGGTTTGAGCCCCGCGTCGGGGTCTGTGCTGACAGCTCAGGGCCTGGAGCCTGCTTTGGATTCTGTGTCTCCCTCTCTCTCTGCCCCTCCGCTGCTCGCACGCTATCTCTCAAAATAAATAAACTTAAACAAACAAACAAAAGGAGCTGCCATCCCAGCCCTGGATGGCCCACGTCCAGATTCCACATTATGAGTAAAGAAAAAATAAACCTTCATCTTACTAAAATCACTCTTTTTTTATTTTTAACGTCTTTATTTTTGAGACAGACAGAGCATGAATGGGGGAGGGTCAGAGAGAGAGGGACACACAGAATCTGAAACAGGATCCAGGCTCTGAGCTGTCAGCACAGAGCCCGACGCGGGGCTCGAACTCACAGACCGCGAGATCGTGACCTGAGCCGAAATCAGACGCTTAACCGACGGAGCCACCCAGGTGCCCCTACTGAGACCACTCTTCTGTTAAGTCTCTGTTACCAGCATCCAAGCAGGAACATTCCACTTCCCTGACTCTGAAACCCGGGCTCCTTCCACTAACCTGTGTTGCCCTAAAGAGTTAAGATGGCTGAGGGAGATGTTCCTGGCCGCTCGCTCAGTCGGTGGAGCGCGTGACTCTCGATCTGGGGGTCGCGAGTGCAAGCCCCACGTTGGGTGCAGAGTTTAAAAAGACGTGGGATGGCTAATTTGGAAAGAGCTCACCCCAACGTAACCTCCAATGGTTGTGGCCCGGGGCCCAAGACGTCAGAATAGGACCAAGACATTCTCAGTTTCCCCTGTGAAACAGGACCATGCTTCAAAGCAACAGTTTCCCATCACAAAGTTAAGTCTAAGTTAACCTGCGCCCTCCCCCAGCCCTCGGCGGCAGAGCCCCTGCCTGTCCCCTGAATACAGCAGGCTTGATCCCACCTGGGTGGTTTCTGAACCAGCTCTTCTGTCTGCTTGGAACGCTCTTCCTCTGATCGCCTCGTGGCTGGTTCCTTGTGTCACACAGAGCTTGGCTTACGTGTCACCTCCTCAGAGAGGCCCCTCCTGGTCACACCCCCTGAACATTTTCCTGTTCCTTCTCTATCACGTAACCCAGGTATTAAAACTTCTTTTATTATAACCAAAGGAGGGGCGCCTGGGGGGGGGGGGGGCTCAGTCGGTGAAGCGTCTGACTTCAGCTCCGGTCACGATCTCTCAGTCCGTGGGTTCCAGCCCCGCGTCGGGCTCTGTGCTGACGGCTCGGAGCCTGGCGCCTGCTTCGGGTTCTGTGTCTCCTGCTCTCTGTGCCCCCTCCCCCGCTTGCACTCTGTCTCTCAAAATAAATAAACGTTAAAAAACAGAATGAAAGCCAACGTCACCCTATTTTAATAATATCTGCATAACCTCACCCCTAACCAAAGTTTTGCTGGCCGTTTTATTATCTGTCTCCCCAGTGGGAATGTAGGTTCTGTGAGAACAGGAGCCTCATGGGTCTTCAAGTACGTGGCTCACAGGAATATGGGTGCTCAAGAAATATGGGTATTTGTCAAATGCATGTCGGATGAATAACCTCTCTGCAGGCTCAGGGTACCAGGTTTGATTTTTGGCTCATTTTTTGGAACCGGCATAATAAAGCTACCCTTTATCGAATATTTGATATACGATGCCTGTGGTGTATTTGCATTTATTACCTCATTTCGAGTTCACAACAGAACCCGCCGAGGCGAGTACTGGCACTGTCTTCAGTCCGAAGATGAAGTGCCCAGGGCCCAGGGCCTCGCCCAAGCCCAGGGCCCCCCAGCGGCTGTCAACACAGTCAGGATTCCCATCCAGGTCTGCCCGGCTCCACAGCCCGTGTTCCCGAGCGCACGGTCTCCGTCTGCGGGGCTCAGGGGACCCCGCCACCACGGCCGCCCCCCCCCCCCCCCCCCACCACCCTCACCTTCATCACTGTGTTGTAGACGGAGATGAAGTTGGTGAACAGGTCCAGGTACCTGGTGGTGAAGACGAGAGCAAAAAGGATCTGGCTCTTCCCAGAGATGCCTGTGGCCAAACGAGAAGAGCGGAAAATGAGACCCGGACTCCTAGGCCCCACGACACTCAAGAAGCCCAGTGCCCGGGGTCGCCCCGGGAGGGGGGCTCCGTCCTGTAAGCGTCCAACTCTTGACCTCAGCTCAGGTCTCGATCTCAGGGATCCCGGTGTCCCTGCGTGTGCCTGCCCGGATTTCAGCTCTGGAGAGGGTGTGTGTAGTGGTGGGGGTAGGGGGGTCCGGGCTTCTCTTCGCATCACCCTCACACTTCCACTGAGTCCCCACAGTTCTGCCTTTTAGACGGCAACTCCACTGAGAGTTGATTCATCAGGGAGACCAGAGCGGGCAGAGGACATTCAAAACGCGGGGCGCCTGGGTGGCTCAGTCAGTTAAGCGTCCGACTTCGGCTCAGGTCATGATCTCATGGTTTGTGGGTTCGAGCCCCGCGTCGGGCTCTGGGCTGACAGCTTGGAGCCCGGAACCTGCTTTGGATTCTGTCTCTCCCGCTCTCTCTCTGCCCCTCCCCCACTCATGCTCTGTTTCTGTCTCAAAAATAAACATAAGAAATTTTTAAAAAGAAAGTCAATTAAGAAAACAAAGATTCAAAATGCTTTTTTTTTTCAGCGATAAAAGGAGTAACTATTTTTGCTCTTTGTAAAACAAAAAGCAGCTGGTCATAAAGACAGTACAGAGGGTTCCCATATACCCGTCACCCAGCTTCCTCCCGCAGAACATTTACCAAAACTAAGACATTCACCCTCGTATGGCACTATTGACCGAACTCCAGGCTTCAGTCAGGTTGCATCCATTTTCCCACTGACACCCTCCTCCTGTCCCGCGAGCCAATCCAGGGATCGATGCTGCATTTAGCGGTCACGTTCCTTAGTCGACCTTCGGCCACTTCTGCTACGTCACGGAGGTGGGGGAGGCAAGGACAGTCTGGACACCTCACCAAACCATCCCCATCGACGATGCCCGCGTGTCTGATCCAAAGGTCAACTCACCCAACCTCCCCAGAGGCGGCTGAGGACTGCGTTCAGAACCACATCCTTCCCCGGGCTTCTGCGACTGTCCTCCTGGCTAGCTCACCGCCCCTGGCCGCTCCCGTCCTCACCACCTAATCGTTGAGGGCTCCCCGGGCTTCTCCCTGGCCCCGTGCCGTCTCAGGGACGCCCCAGCTCCGGACTCTCCTCCGAGTTCTGACCCCTACATTCCAGCCTGACCAGACTCACCATCTCCCCGCGAGCCCCGCTCGTGTCTCCCCTCCTTCGAGAATGCCGCCACGGCCCCCTCCAAGCTCACGCCAGGAAAGCAAGAGCCATCCACCTCCACCGCCCCCACTCCCGTGCCCCTCGCCGGCCCAGCACCCTAGCTCAGGGCTCCCACCCGTGTCCCCAAGTCCTTCCTTGCTGCCACCCCCACCCCCATGCCACTTGCCAACCAACGGGCTATTTTTAAAATAAAATTCCACTTAGAGCCCTTAAGCGGCTCCCAAATGCCCTTTAAAATAGAGACTCATATCCTCCTCGTGGCTCCTGAGGTCCCGCCCAACCTTTCCTGGCGGCCTGCCTGGCCCCATATCTCATCACTGTCCCCCTCAGTCCCTCCCTCCAGTCACGATGATAACATCTGGCTTTTACTCTACGTGTAACCGAGTGACTGGGGACATTGGCACCCAGAAGTGACATTACCTGATTAAGGGCCCGCTTCCTTTATACGCCTGAACTGTGCCTTATCTATTTCTCTGGTGCTGCACATTTTGGGGAGGGAGACAACTGCTGACGCCCCCCAACGTTCTGGGGGGCACCGGGCCCCCGTGCTGGCTTTCCTGCCAGTGTGGTGAGCCTGAGCCCCACACTCCTCATCTGTAAGATGAACACCCTCCCCCCCCCACGGGTGGGACAGCACTGACTTGAGGCCTACGCAGGATTCAGTGAGGGTGTGAGTGCCCCCTGGGGGGGTCTGGGACTTGGACTTGAGGCAGTGGGGCTGGCTGTGGTGACGGAGCCCACTGCTGGGAGTGGCGCCTGGGGTCCAGGCGGCAATGCCGACCCGAGGCCAGCTCCGGGCCATGCCTGTGGCCACCCCATCTCACTGAGCCCTCCCAGAGGCCTCTCCAGGGAGGTCCTCGGCGCCACTTAGGAGGGTCCAGGAGGAGGCAACCCCGGCAGGGGACAGCTACCCTCTCGGCACATGGCCTTCCTCCCCCGCTCCCCTCTGCATCCTCAGCCTGCTGGGTTCCTGGGCTTCACTCACACCTCAGTGCTCCAGAGCCGGACAGTCAGGAGCACAAAGGTTTTCACGCTCCTTTGAAAGCAGTGAAACATTTCCACCGAAGGGAGCCAGGCACAGAGACCCGGGACAAGGAAGGGAATGCGAGCCGGTACCTGGCCAGAGTCCCCCCACCGCCCCGCCCCGGGGATCCACTGAGCACACAGCAGCCCTCCTTCCATTTGACGGATGGCAAAACTGAGGCCCGAGGTGACACAGGGAGTCAGTGGCTGGGCGAGACCTAAGCCCCAGTCTCCTACCTTTTGGGGTGGGTCAGCGAGGGTCACACCAGGCTCCGCGTCTCGGGGCAGACGGGGCTGGCGTCCAGGCACCTCACCTCCTCAGGTCCCAGCCAGGCGTGTGCCAATCCTCCTGCGCGCGCGAGCGCGCGCGCGCGCGCACACACACACACACACACACACACACACACACACACACGCTTCACCGCCCAGCTGCCCTTTTTCTTCCCCGTAGCACTTAGCACCTCTAAGAAACCGTATCATTTACTTGGCTGCTACGACTGTTGCTGGCTGGCACGTCTCCACTGCTAGCAAGTCCCCTCCACCAGGCGCGGGGCCCAAGTTGTCGGTGTTCCGTCTGGGGGGCCAAGGGCCGGGCGGGGCAGCGTGGGTTGGGGAACAGCGCCCCCTCCCGGTCATGGCTGCTCACTCCCGCCTAGGGCCCTCCGTGGAAGTGCAGGGACAGGTCCGAGCTAGACTCCCCCCCCCCCCCCACCCCCCACACCGGAGCCCCTCGCAGGGCTCCTGCCTCACTTCCCCAAGTGGGAACTTGAGGGGCCCAGAGTGCCCATCTCTCCAGAGACTGGAAACCGGAATGGCCTGCAGGTCCAGGACCACACCCTCTTGTAATGCCTCTCGCGCCAGCACCCAGCCCCTCCTCCGTGGCCAGTACCCGAGGGAGTGACCTGCTTCACGTCCCTTCCGAGCCCCCCTCCCCTGCTCCCCACACTTCCGCCGCTCCCCAGTCCAGACTCCCTAGCCTGACCGACAAGGCGCTTTCACATTTGGACCCCCCACCCCTCTGCCACTCATCTCCCTTGTGGACCTCCCCCACATCGGGCTGCTAGCTCTCCCTGGGACAATCCCTTTGGGCTTTGGCACCCCCAGCACTCTCCACACAGCACACCCTTCCTGGTGACAGCCCGCCCATCCTCCAAGACCCAGCACAGAGCTGCTCCCTCCACCAATACTTCAGGGGTCTGCTCTCTGCCTCCTCGGGCCCCCACTCCTCCTGCATTCATCTCTGTATCCCCTGTCCCCAGTGCCAAGCACAGGGTGGGCCCCTCCAGGACACCAGCGGGGCAAAGATGGCTGCAGGAGGCCTGAGCAGCCTTTTTGACGCACCGGGTCCTTTTGGCCACCAGCAGTCCCACCCTGAAGCGTCTCCAAACCCCCCAGGGAGGGCAGCCAGACTGCTGGGCAAAAGGGGGACTTTTCCTGCCCTCCCGGGGCTTCTGCTACGGGGGCAGGTCCGGGCTCGCCAGGGCCCAGCCTGGTGTCCTTCCTGCCACATCACAGCCTCGTGTGCCACGCGCAGGCAGAGGAGGGAAGAGGGCCCAGCCTGAGGGGATGTCTGGAAGGGGCCGTGCAGAGTGGTGAGGGGAGGAAAGAGAAGCCCCTGAGAACTGGAGGCCAGTCCTGGGTGCAGACCGCCCCCCCCCCCCACCTTCGGATCCACTCTGGGCCTGAGCGAGGGTACACAGTCACAGGCCGCCAGCTCCTGAGAAGCAGAAAGAGCAAACTGTCCAACAAGCCAGACTAGCGGAAGCAAGAGGGTATCACCTCCTGCGCACCCCCTCCTCTTCCCACTGGCAGGGGTGGGGCAGGGGTAAATCACCCTCCCTCCAGAATCTCCGAGGGTCCTCCTTCTTTGATGGGGTGCACCTTTCCATGTTCTCTGGAAGCTGAGCTGTGCGAAGACAGTCTCAAGCACCCCCAGGCCGAAGTCCCCACCCTGAACGGAAATTCAGCAGCCCCCCACCCAGGGCTTGCAGGCTGGGGCCCGGGCGGCCCAGGCCCTCCCTCCCCCACCCCACCCCGTCGCACACCTCCGCCCGGGCGACCCTCACCGGAGCAGCACTTGGACCTCCAGATCTTCCCCAGGAGCAAGATCATGGCCAGGAGGTGGCTCAGGTCGCCGAGGATCCGGAACACGTTCATGGTTCCCCGGGCGGGCGGCCCCCACCCCCGCCCCCGCACCGCGCGCGGCCAACTCCTGGGAAACTTTCTGCCGGGAGAGGCGGCTGCCACGTCCCCGGGCCGGGCTCTGGGTCCCGCGCTCCGAGCCCCGCGCTCCCCGCCGGCGCCGCCGCCGCTCCGCCAGCGCACCCTCGGCCGGGCGGTGACGTGGCCAGGCCGGCAGCCGTGCCGGGCGAGCCAGGAAGCGCCGCCGCCCGAGATCCCGCCTCCCTCCCGTCCCAGCGCCGCGGCCCCGGGGCCTCCCGCACGTGACCTTGGGCGGGCCACCGCGCCCCTCCCGCCGCCGGAGGCCCCCTCATCCGCCTCCAGGGTTTATAACTCGGGGGCCAGGGTGGATGGGGGGGGGGCGGGGCGCGCGCCAGCGTTTGGCCTAAGCCTAGAGGGTTGGCAGCGCCCCGTGAACGTGACCCACTGCCGCTGTCAGCATCCCCTGGGGTTCAAGGCCTCCCTCCTTTCCCGCGCTCTTACCTGTCCACTGCCAGAGCCCCCTTGTCCTGACCCGCCCAGTCGGGGCGGTGAAGCTGGTGAAAGATGGCCCTCGGGTTTGGGGTCAGGCTGACCTCTGTTCCGGCCTGAGTGCTGTGGGCCTCCCTCCCCCGCTCTTGGCCTCAGTGGTTTCATCTGTGAAAGGAGGTTGCTGTGAGTATGAAAGATGTCCGTCAGGGAGACCCGGGGGCCGCGACTAATGTCTCCCTCTTCTTGGTGTGACAGGATGTAAAACGGGAACACAGGCCGGGAGACTCCAGGGGGCTGCGGACTGTTGGCCAGCAGGCTGGGAGGTGGGAAGGGTGAAGGGCCCGCAGGGGTCTTTCCAGTGCTGTGCCCCCCCTCTCTGGGCCTTGGTCTCTGCATCTGTAAGAGCGGACGGCATGAGCTAAGGCCCCTCGTTACCACCCTCCTTTTGACCCCAGGATCTTCTCTCCCAAACACCGGCCTCCTCCCAGCCTCATCCCTGCCCCGGCCAGAGAGGCTCTGCTACCATGGAATCTGTCTCCCCCCTACTCATCACCCTTCCGTGGCTCCCTCACCATGACTCCTAGGGCAAGGCAGCCCTTCGAGACTCAAAATGCCTTCCGCCGGCCAGCAACATTTGTATCACCTGCTGGGAATGCAGAATCTCAAGCCCCCGGGGCTCCTCGGGGGCTCAGTCAGTTAAGCATCTGACTTCAGCTGAGCTCATGATCTCACGGTTTGTGGGTTCGAGCCCCGCACGGGGCTCCGTCCTGACAGCGCGAAGCCTGCTCGGGATTCTCTCTCGAGCCCTCTCTCTGCCCCTCCCCCACTTTCTCTCTCTCCAAAATAAATAAATAAACTTAAAAAAAAAAAAAAAGGGATCTTGAGTCCTACCTCAGGCCCACTGGATCTGCATCTGTGGTTAAACAAGATCCCTGACTGATTCAGGGGCCCACGGGAGTTTGAGAGGCACTGATATAAGCAATACTATGGGGGAGGTACTGCTATTACTCCCATTTTACACCCGGGGAAACCGAGGCACAGAGAGGTTAGGTGATGTGCTACCAGTCACGCAGACCCTAAGTCTGGAGCCTGGATTCCAGCGCAGTCTGGCTCCAGGGTTTATGTGATTCGTGGCTTTAAAAAAAAAAAAGATTTTGCGTTTAAGTAATCTCTACACCCAACGTGGGGCTCAAACTCAGGACCCTGAGATCAAGAGTCCCGTGCTTCTCTTACCGAGCCAGCCAGGCACCCCCAGGGTTTATGCAATTCAATGAATGTACGACACTGTGGGTTGTCAATAGGGGATGATGAGATAGATCCCTGTCACCAGAGGTGGGTGAACAGAGAGTGGGTGTCCATTTGTCAAGGATGCCGCCGGGGGGGACTTCTGCCCTGGCAGGGAGGTTGGAGTAACAACAGCCGCCAAGTATTGAGCAGTGACCGGGTGCCTTGCATGCGTCGGGCACGTTAGTTGCTTCTATCCGTTCAGCCTCCACAGACACCCTCCGAGGCAGGCTTGAAATCCTCGTTTTGCAGGTGACAGCTGTGGAGGTCCAGGGAGGTGAGGTGCGGAAGCCAAGTCTTTCTGGAAGGAGGAGCCAGGCACTCGTCTCGTCTCGGGGCGTGACGGGTTCTGAATGGGCTGCTCTGCTCTGTCCTCCCCCCCCCACCCCGCCGCTCCCCCCCCCCCCACCAGTCCTGCCCAGATGCCTCTCTTCCAGCGTCGCCCAGAGAAGGCGGTGGCTATTTAAACCCCTCAGGTGTGGCTACGGTTCTCTGCCCTACCAGCTGGCATCTCCTTCTCAGCGCCCACCTCCTCCCCAAGCCACGGAAAAGCACGTGCATTTGCCATTTGGTGACACATCTGTCCTCCCGAGAAGCAGCCCCAACTGCCAGCGGGGGCTGGAACAAGGCTAGAATTCTCCTCTTCCCTCTCTTTCTCCAAGCCCCCTCCCCGTCCCCGGGGAACTGGCTGAGACCAGGGTAGGTTTGAGGAATGGCCACCGTGGTGGTGGAGGAGAGAGATCCCAGGCTGGGTGGCCCCTGTGGCCTTGAGCCTCCCACGGCCCCTCCTTGGGCCTCGCTTTCCCACCTGTTAATGGGGACAATGAGGGGAAAAGTATTGCTGACGGGGGACGTGGTCCTCCTGGCCTCTAGTCTCCAGCGTCCCCAGGAAACTGGTACTCCCTAGGTCTCAAGACAGGGAGCTCATCACGCCCATTTTACAGATGTGGAAACTGAGGCTCAAACTTGTCTCTTGCTCCCCCAGGTCACGTAGACGGCTCCCTCCAAAGTCCTACCGCTCTGTTCTTAGTGACCCGCCCTGCCTTTCTCATACTCACCCCATCTTTAAGCTGGAACGCTTTTCAAAGCTCCTCGTGGAGAAGAGGGAAAGCCCTTGGCTCTGGCTCATGCCCGCGCGTAGGCCACCTGCACCAGCCGACACTGTCCTTCCCTGATGCTGGGTGGTTCTGGGCACATCCCTCATCCCGGCAAGCCTCACTTTCCCGACACCCAACATGTGTCTGCGGTCGGTGGGTGGGTGCGTCGGGGATGCGGTTGGGGGGGGGGGGCCGCCAGGAGGGAAATGTCCTTCAACTCAAAGGGCAAGGGTTCTGTTTTCCTCATTGACAATGCAAATTGTACATTCAGAGTCAAAGGAGAGAGGATGGGGGGGTTACTGAGTTACAGGGGGAAAAGAAAAGGGGTATAACAATCTCTTCCTCCCTGGTCCTCGCCCTTTGTTACACTTTGTTACACGCCCAGTTGAATAGCCTGCCACCTGCCTCAAATTCCGTGTGGAAGGAAAGTGCGGCTATCGAGTGAAAAGCACTGTCCCGAGGATACCCACCAGTGAATTGGCTGCCTCTCGCTGGGCAGGGCCCTGGAAACACTGGGGAGCTATGGGCCCCAGCTCCTGGGACTCCCTTAAGGTCACTGGGGGCCGCTATGGCATCCTCTGGCCTACATGAGTGGGCGCCCCCCAGTAGGAGGAATGAACTCTTCCAGGCAGCCCCCCCCCCCCCCCAGGCGTCATTCAGGAGGGGCGGACAAGTCCATTCCCTCACCTAGTCTGGGTGGGCTGCGGGCAGCCTTTCTCCTCCTGCAGTTCTGCCCAGGTGTTCTGGAAGCTTCCCACCCCCCAGTATCTCTTGAGCGACGTTCCGCAGAGCGAGTGCGGCCCTATTTTCAACACAGTGGGAAACCAAGGCTCCAAAACCTCGGCTTTTAGCTCTGAGCACGTTTGTTGAAGACCAGCTGCGTGCTGGTGCCTTGCAGGGTGAACAAAGAGGAAGCCTCAAGGAGCCCCTGGGGCACCGTGGGAGGCGGGGTCCGTGCAAGAGTTAAATATGACACAGGGGAGAGACTAATTACCCTTGGTTGTGGGGGGAGTCGAGAGGGAGGACTGCAGTTAGGAAGGCTTCAGACGATGCCCCAGTGGGTTTTGCAGTATGAGTAGGAGCTTGCCTGAAGGACAAAACCTGGGAGAAAAGAATAGGAGTCCCAAATAGAAGGAACGATGTGCCCCAAGGCACAGAAATGGGATACGACCCGCTCTCCCAGCGTATTTTATTTGTATAGATCTTTAAAAGAGGCCAATAAATGGGGGAAAGGGGAGGGGGGTGAAGAATGACCATCAAGGTTAGACAGATCTTTGTTCAAGTCTCAAGTTTCACCGCTTACTGAGGAGCTGTCCGAATCTGGGCAATTCGTTTTCTCTTTCCAAGTCACACGGTTCTCATGGGTAACCTGGGTGTGAACCGAGTACTGACTTCATAGGTTAGTTATGGGAGCCAAAGGTAGCTAAGTCTCTAAAGCGCTTTGCAAACAGGAAACCGCTCAACGAGGGGAACCAGTCCCTGGCTTCCATGAGGGGACACCAAGGCCCAAAGAGCGCCTGGCGAAGCAGGGCCGGGAGAAAAGAACAAAATTCCGAAAATTTCCGTGTTCTCAGAAGGCGATCATCCCCTCGCCGGTTTATTCCAGGAGAAGTGCAAAAAAGACAATTAAAAATAACCTCTGGGCCCGAGGAAGCCTTCTGGGGCGCTAGAAGCGTTGTGTGTTTTGATCCGGGCGGTGATCACAGGTTTTCTGCACACGTAAAAATCCACTGAGTTGGACCCTTTAAGATGTAGGTATGACGGCTTGTAAGTTACACCTCGATTAATAGAAAAAGGAAACATACCAAACCTTGCGACACCCCTTCCCTTCGCTCTCGGCGACAGGTGTCCTTCTGAGACCTCAAAGGCCGCACTCCGCGCGCGCGGTGCAGGCCCCGCGCCCCGCGCTCCGAGAGTCGTGCGCCGCGCGCCTGGGCCGCCGCGAGGTTCCCAAGGCAACCGCTCGCCGCTCGCCGCGTCTCCCGAGTGACGAGGCGTCAGCGAAGACCCGGAACCCGGATCGATGAACCGGAGCCACGGAGCGCGTGGTGCGCGGGGGCGGGAGGGGGGGCGGGGGGTGTGGGGAAGGGGTGGCTGGCCAAGTGCGGAGGCGAGCGACCGGTGCCCTTCCTCCTTGCGGTGCCGTTCTGAGGGCATCCGTCAGGCACGTCTCTCTAGCCCTGTGGCTACAAACTACTGAGCGTATTCACCCCCGGGGTCCGCTCTCAGCTTTCCCGGCGGGGAGAT